TCGTCGCTCCATCACAGTATGGTAAGGGGCGTAACATTTCCATCTCACGCTTGAGGCATTCGGTCAATTACAACGCACTGGATAGCTGGCCAATCAGAGCACACCTCGCTTTTTCAGACCGATGAGCTTTGTAAAAATCGACGCTTTTCAAAAAGGTGGGGCATAGAGGAGAAACAATAAATGTACAGTATGTGGAAAATAGTGTTTTTTTACTTTAAACCGCATAAACATTTCATTACACCAAATACACAAAATAATGTTCTTTTTAGCAGCATCATATGACCCCTTTAAATCAATTCTTTTGGACTACCATTCTAAAGTTTAGAGTCTGTAAGATTTTTCAAAAAAGAAATGAATGCTTTTATTCAGCAAGCATGCATTTAATTGCTCAATTGATAGAGAAGACTTCTGGAAAAAATGTATCGTGGTTTCCACAAAAATATTAAGCAGCACAACTTTTTTCAACATTGATAAGAAATGCTTCCGGAGCACCAAATCAGCAAATTGAAATGATTTCTGAAGGATCATGTGACACTGAAGACTGGAGTATATGACCCCTTTAAATCAATTCTTTTGGACTACCATTCTAAAGTTTAGAGTCTGTAAGATTTTTCAAAAAAGAAATGAATGCTTTTATTCAGCAAGCATGCATTTAATTGCTCAATTGATAGAGAAGACTTCTGGAAAAAATGTATCGTGGTTTCCACAAAAATATTAAGCAGCACAACTTTTTTCAACATTGATAAGAAATGCTTCCGGAGCACCAAATCAGCAAATTGAAATGATTTCTGAAGGATCATGTGACACTGAAGACTGGAGTAAAGGCTGCTGAAAACTCAGCTTTGCATCACAGCAATAAATTACATTCAAATATATAAATTTAAAAAATAATAAGTTTTGTTTTTGCTGTACATTTTTTTTTTTTTTTTATCAAATAGGCTAATTGCAGCCTGGGCGAGCATAATAGACTTCTTTCAAAAACACTGAAAGAAAATCTCACAAACCCCAAACTTTTGACCAAACCAACCTGTCAAACAGTGAGAAACCATTCTGCTTCAAACACAACATCTTCACAGGTACATGAGCAGAAGCTGGTGTGAAACATGAGAAAGCATTCAAAATGCTACTAGTTGCTAAAGTGCTTTTTCTCTGTCTCCAGGCATTATAAGAAGAAATTTCCATGTGTTTTCTGGAAGCCTTTAGGATTAGATCCAAGCAGCCATTTGACTAAATGCTTCCTATTCAAGTTGAGCTAGGGAACGACATGATGTTAGCGATGCTACAGACGAGTCTCCATGAGATCACAGCTGAACCGTTTGTCATTGTGGTGCCTTCGTAAATGATGACCGTTGTGACATATTAATCTCACACAGGAAATCTCAAATCTTTTCATAGCAATATAGGCACTGGAAATCCCCAGCTGAGGCAGCCTAAACGGGGAGCCCCCTATTAAATAAGGTGGGTACTGATCATTTATTACATCCCCTTTTGAAAGACAAAAAGCGAGATGCAAACCTGACATGAACTCCAAAAAGAATAAAAGACACACTTGCCTTAAACTCTTAACTCACATATGACAAAAGTGAGGATCGTCTGACAACTTTAGCTCTTTCCAAATTGTCTGAAAACTCTGGCAGAGTTAAGTAAACAGTAAAGCTGGTTTGTTTCCATAACAGGAGTTAGTGAGTGGTTAGTCCAAGAGCTCTGGACTCCACCCATTTCACAGATGCCCAAACACGTGAACTCAGACACGACCTTTACTACTAATATATATATATATATATTTGAAAATCACCCTTTCATTTCAAATGTAAAAATGCCACAATGAAGTCAATAGATAAGGGTCTATAGGCTTTGAATAGGAGTTTAGTGAGTGGTGTGCCCTCGGTTGACACCAGTCTCTTTGTGAGAGATTTAGCAGCTCTTTAAACATCCCAGAGATTCTGGTAAAAAGCCAAAATTAGGGTCATTATGAGTATACAATTTCAGAAAATAACATTTGTGCAACTTTTAAAGTAGCAGTTTGAGTTTACATGAAACTGGAGAGTCGAGCTCTTTACGAAGCCGTTAAAAACTTGAGCGCTAACGGTCATTTCTGATGAAATTCAAACTCGAGCCTCGTCTTTCCAGACCTCTGAAATCACGAGAGCGAGGGGAATCACACTTTTAATGAGGCGACAAACTAGGAAACAATTTAGACAGAAATCAAGTCTTTCGCGGTGGTCTTTGTTCACGACCGCGACGCTGAAAAGTTGAGAGAATAACATGGGCGTTTCTCCTGGGCAGGTTACAGCGCAACTTCAGCTAACGCTAGCTAAACCTCATTTCGCTAGCCTCTCATCCCCCCCGAGCCCGTTAAAAGTCGAATTTAGAGCCCACATGGCACTTTGTAGAGGTGTGTGGATGAGAAACGCGCCTCCCACCTTTCATAACATTACTGTAAATGGTGGCTCTGAACTCTTCTTTGGCCCGCTGGTCGAAGTCCTGGCCGTGTATGATGCGCATCTGCTTGAGGAAAGTGGACTTGCCGCTTTCTCCGGCGCCGAGCAGAAGTATCTTCACTAACCGTTTCACATATGTTTTGTCTTTCATGAGACCTCGGTCTATTTCTTTAGATTTCCTCAGTTGTTCCGCCTCGCTGCTGTTGAGAAGACAGTTTGGAAAACAAACGGATAGAAAGGACCGGGACGGCAGGAAATCCGCCATCTTTGTGCAACTTCATCGATACAGTAGGGAGTGAAACTGCGCGCGCCGCAGTGCTAGAAGCGGGCGGGGCTCCGTTACCATAACAGTGGCGCGCGCGCAGTGCTCTGAAAGTCTGGGGTGGGTTCGAACTAAGAAATGCACGGGGCAAATGTTCAGCCACAGGACACGAGGTGTCGGCTACTTAAAGGTGCACTCACTATATTTTTAGTTCTAAATTAAAACGTTTGCACAAAGATTTTTAACCCTGCACAGTCAGAAAAATCTACTTTTTATGGAACAGTTTATCGGACCTTTAAACAAAATGTTTTAAAAAAAGTTTGCATGTGTTTAAAGTTTTTGTAGTGGTCGACCTATATTGTTTTTTTTTGACAGCCGATGTCGATATCTTAGAGAGCAGGGTGGCCGATATAAAGCCGAAATATATATATAATTTTATTTATTCTAATTAATATTTAAGAAATGTGAAATAATTTGAAAATTATAAATGTGTCAAATAAACATACTTTAAATGACAACTACTTGATTCTGTAATCCTATTACAGTATTTATCACAAATAAAGAAATAAAAAAATAAATAACAAATATTGATATTAAATATATATATATATAAATAAAAAGGAAGTAAACTCTGTAACCAACAGGGCTCTCAGTAATCTGGGAAGTTTGTGTGCATTGGGAAGAATTTTTTATTGGCCGAACACATCGGCCAAACAGAAAAACTTATCGGCCACTGCCGATATTTGAAAAACTTCAAATATCGGCCAATATATCAGCCTTGGCAATATATCGGATGACCACTGTTTTGTATCCTATTTGATAAGGCTTTATCACATAATATGATATACTGAGAATATGAAGCTCATATTTGAGGAATAAAAAACACATTTTAATTAAAGGTCCAAAGTGAGCAGAAATATACAGTTTGGTGCAGCTGTTGTAATGGCCAAAAATTAAGATGTATATTTTTAAGTTTTAATTAAGTTATATAACAGTATGTCTATAGCAGGCTACTTAGTAAAACATGCATATATAATTTGTCACTGTATATATATAATAATATAATAATATGTAAGTTATTTTTGTAAGTTGATATTTAAATGCTTAGTTTTATGATCAGAGCTCTGTATTTTGTAACATAATGCAATGCAGTACAAAGATGATTAAGACGTACAAATAAATGTTCCTCAAAAGTCTGATGTAGCCTAATATTTGATACATTTTAATTTTAAAAAGGCTTTGATCCAGTAAATGTTCATCTTGAAATATTAATACCAATATAAAAGTTATGTGTATGATACTTTATCAAAGTCATTATATTTTATAGCAAAAAGAACATGACCTGAAGGTGGAGCATTTTGAATTCTACTATAAGACCTTTTATTTGCTAAAAATAAAAGTATGAACTATCAATCAGAGGGCAGATTGCATGTAGACGATTGTGTGCAACAGGTTTTGAGCAACGTGTTGATCATTTTGGTCATTTACAGGCCTTAGAAATTCATGTATCAAACATGATTCGGTAGCATTTTTGAGAAATATCATAAAATGATTTACAATCACGAGATGATAACTAGATGTATCAGTCTTCTAAAGCTTTCCACGACATTCTAATTTATTGAGATGCACTTGTATTGCTACAGTTCCCCATGGGAAGCAGTGGCGACAGATAGTGTTGGTCTCTCTGTCTGTCGCCGCCTGTCGGTGTGTGAGAGCAGTGACGGCAGATAACAGAGCTGCGCTGTGATTGGTCCGCTGTCTCTTTCTCATGTTTGCTGCTCGCGGTCTTCCCCGGTGTTTGTGTGTGTGTGTGTGTGTGTGTGCGTGCAGCAGGGAATATATACAATTATATTCTCATTAAGGCTGGTCACAACAAGATTTGTTTTCTGCCCTTAAAATTATTTTTTTACGGACTACAAAATGACTATAAGATCGGACCGAGACCATGGACAACGTTATCGGCCACGGATGTCGTGCAGCAGGGAATATATACAATTATATTCTCATTAAGGCTGGTCACAACAAGATTTGTTTTCTGCCCTTAAAATTATTTTTTTTACGGACTACAAAATTACTATAAGATCGGACCGAGACCATGGACAACGTTATCGGCCACGGATGTCCTGCCTTAAAAAGGTAAGTCCATTCTTAAGGCAAAGTAATTACTATTGAACATTATTGAACAATTAACTCCCTATTAAGGATCGTATACACTTTATAAATAGCTATTTGTTTCTATGTTCATTCTGTTGTAAACAATCTATACGCTATGTCTAGTGTAGTGTTTCATAAATTCATAAATTGAAGTGACTTTCCAACATATTCTTTTTAAAGTTATATATATTAATTAGTATTCATTTTATTTTAAAAATCCTTAATGCTGTAATATGTGATTCTAACTATGTAATGATTTAATGGAAACTAAAATCAGTGTATCTCAGCCTTTCCATATAGAATATCCAAATCTTTAACTGTATTTTTATTTTATTTTATATTATTTTGTTCTTGTTTCTGGAGTTTCTGTTTATTCTTGGCTTCTTGGAGAGATCTTGGAGTCATTGAAAAGATTCGCTCTAAAAGAGCTTTCTGATTCAAAGCCAATTTGCCTGGCCTTATGCCACATCTGACAGCTTGCCTTAAGACTTTCATGTCTTACTCTAAGTTCAAAGGGCATGCATGTTGCCATAGTACACGAGTGTCAAACTCATTTTAGGTCTGAACTAATTGGTACCTGTTACAAATATTCAGTTTATTTGTTAAACCTTGGTGTAGCCATGCAGAGCCAATGTACATGCCTAGTGAAAAATCAGCTTTGCTGCTTTAATAACTAATACTGGAGTAATCCATATACATACAAAACTTTATATTAATCAAACAACAATATTAAGGGGGGGGGGGGACTTGAGATGTCATTTGGACAAATGTATTATCAAATGGGCATTCACTGAAAATAAAACTTGCCTAGTTGCCTTCATGATTGATAAAGAATAAAATATTGATAAAAAAAATTTAAGTAGGCACTATGAAATGTATTCTTCTTATTTTATAGAGTTTATATAGCTAAGCTACAGCATACAGAAACTTTACACAGATAATTAATGGCAAAAACTAGAACAATTTATTAGGGTAATTATTCAAATACAGTATATGACGGCTGTGAAAAAGAAAACCAATGTTTTAATTTAATTGTTTAATGTATTGTCACTTTTTTCTCAGGCCATTCTGTGGCCATCTCTTTGATACCCCTGACATGGTACAACAACATAATATATATATATATATATACAGTGGGGAAAATATTTATTTGATCCCCTGCTGATTTGAAGGGTCTGTAATTTTTATGGTAGTTTTATTTTAACGGATAGAGACAGAATACCAACCAAAAAATCCAGAAAAAACACATTATATAAAGGTTAGAAATTGATTTGCATTTCAGTGAGTGAAATAAGTATTTGATCCCCAAGCAAAACATGACTTAGTACTTGCAGAAACCCTTGTTGGCAAGCACAGAGGTAAGACGTTTTTTGTAGCTGGTCACCAGGTTTGCACACATCTCAGGTGGGATTTTGATCCACTCCTCTTTACAGATTCTGAATGAATGAATGATGCATTTATATAGCGCTTTATTGTACACCCAAAGTGCTTTACAATCATGTGGGGGGGGGGGGGGGCTCTCCCAGACAACAGGGTGAGCACCCCCTGCTGGCCTCACTAACACCTCTTCCAACAGCAACATAGTTTTCCCAGGAGGTCTCCCATCCAGGTACTGACCAGGCTCAACTCTGCTTAGCTTCAGTGGGCTACCAGTCTTGGGCTGCAGGGTGATATGGCTGTGGCACTAAATTATAAGGTTTCTTGGCTGTCGTTTGGCAGATTTTACAGTTCATGGCCCCGTCCGTTTGCCCCTCAATGCGATGAAGTTGTCCTGCAGAAAAACATCCCCAAAGCATAATGTTTCCACCTCTGTGCTTGACTGTAGGGATGGTGTTCTTGGGGTCATAGTCAGTATTCCTCTCCCTCCAAACACAGCGATAAGGTTTCTTGGCTGTCGTTTGGCAGATTTTACAGTTCATGGCCCCGTCCGTTTGTCCCTCAATGCGATGAAGTTGTCCTGCAGAAAAACATCCCCAAAGCATAATGTTTCCACCTCTGTGCTTGACTGTAGGGATGGTGTTCTTGGGGTCATAGTCAGTATTTCTCTCCCTCCAAACACAGCCAGTTGAGTTAATCCCAAAGAGCTCAATTTTGGTCTCATCTAACCACAGCACTTTCTCCCAAGCCTTCTCTGAATCATTTAGATGTTCACTGGCAAACTTTAAACGGGCCTGTACATGTGCATTCTTGAGCAGGGGGACCTTGCAGGCGCTGCAGGATTTCAGTCCATTGCAGCGTAGTGTGTTACCAATGGTTTGCTTGGTGACTGTGGTCCCAACTGCCTTAAGATCATTAACAAGCTCCTCCCGTGTAGTTCGGGGCTGATCCCTCACCTTCCTTATGATCATCCTTACCCCATGAGGCAAGATCTTGCACAGAGCTCCAGACCGAGGCCGATTGATGGTTGTTTTGTATTTCTTCCATTTGCGAATAATCGCACCAACAGTTGTCTCTGTTCCAGAGCATTAAATTTTATCCTTTAGCACTTGATTTTATATATTACCTTTTTAATATTTTATATCTTAAACTAATTTCCTGAATTTCTCAGGTGGAGGCCACAGTGGTTCAGATGCAGGACCCATCCACTGGAGTGAAGGGAGCAAATCAGAAGCTCAACGTTACAACCATTCCCCATTCCATCACTGGTGAGTTCGTAATTTAGTGAGGATCTTACAGAATCCTAACACTGTTCACAGATCACCATGTATTGTATATTGTACGTTCCCTTTTGGTCTATATACAGACAGAAGCGTTGTGCTGCCAGATCATAATCTGACGACGCTGGCTATATACAGCAGCCTTCAATTGGATGAGATCTTTACTACTTTAGGTTCCAAAGTTGCACTTTAATCTCTGCAAGGGTTGTCGACAAATCTAGTGAGCCAGGAACTTTAACTTAGTCTTACATTTAACTGTTCTTGTAGTAATGGGCTTGAGATTTGTAAAGCACACGTGTTCAAAATGCTTGAAAACTGATATAACAATTTTCTACAGTATTTCACTACAATTTAATATTTGTACATACACTGAGACCCTTAATCATTATTTTAATCATTACATTTTTTATTCATTTTTATTTATTTTGTTATTTTTTTTGTTATTTTATTTTATTTTTAAACTACATATCATGGTAATTTTCAATTGCTCAGCACACATTTTTCTTTATTTGCTGTTTTTGCAGTTGTCATGACATTGTCTGTGTGTCTGACAGGTCAGGATATTGTTGCATGGATCACCAAAAATATGAACATGGACAATGATGGTAATTGTGAAAAAATATCGTTTTGAATAAACAATGGTCTGGAAAAAATATCCTTTAAATATGTTTGAATATATTACCCAGCACAATAATGTCCTTGAATGCCTTTTGACAGAGGCTCAAGCATTTGGCACAATGTTAGTGGCATTCGGGTACATCTACCCTCTGCAGGACCACAAAAAGCTTGTCCTCGGACCAGATGGCAGTTTGTACCGCTTTCAGGTAAACGTGTCAGGAGACCTTGTATCTTTAAAAATGTTTTAATAGAGGTGCACAGTAAACAGGTGACTTTTCCCTTCTGTCTAGGCCCCCTATTTCTGGCCTGTGCAGAAATGGAAGACTGAGGACACTGATTATGGTTTGTAATCTTTTGAATATTAACAAAATCTGAGAAGTTGCTTGCCAGAGGCCTTGCATTTACCCATGTTTTTTTGTCACCATCCCCTAATAAAGGTGTTTTCTCTGTCACTAAAGCAATCTATCTGGCAAAGAGAAACATTCGAAAAAAGGGAGTGCTTGATGCTTATGAGCAGGTATTCATTTGAATACTCATTTAGTTATTATTTAGAATCATTTGACTTATTTAGAATGAGCTTGACTGTAAGAAAGTGGCAGGATTTAAGCAGATGAAATGATGGAGATGTCTAGCATATGACACTAGAGAGAAGTCACTAGATTGTTTTACCAGAAGATCGCGTTATGGCATTTTGATAAAAAATTACAGGCTCAAATTGAATTAAAAATCGTTCACAATATGATAAATAAGATGCATTTAGATAATAGATAGTATGAATTTCAATCTCATGCCGACTTTAATATCATTATACTGTAACACTGATGTTAACAGGAGGAATACAACAAACTTCACAAATGGATGAACCACAAATGGGATTTTATTGTGATGCAAGCTAAAGAGCAGTACCGGTGAGTTTCTCTACTCTCCTGCTTTCTTTACAAACATACATGGTTACTATTTCGGTCTTTTCAGTCTCTGTCAGCTATATTTGTGTAATGCGGTTTGTCCTTTTTCTTCCTTTTCTGTAATTCTTCATCTTCAGTACTTATTGTTATTGGTACTTACTTTATGGAATTGTGTTCTGTCTTTCAAGTGCCGGGAAGGCGCGCCAGAAGGCAGACAGGGTTGTGTTTGACTGTCAGGAAAGAGCCTACTGGATTGTCCACAGGCCTCCAGTAAGTGGTTGGCAGAAGCTGCTAGTGTACGGTTGCTTTGAAGACACTATAAGGAGGATGCATTTTCTTTTCTCTAATCTGTCTCCAGCCACAAACTCACAGCGCTATGGATTACGGCCTGGATCGTCACATTGACCCTAATGCGGAGCCGGTAACTGGTAAGTTTACATGTGACCCCTTAATATCTATTAAGCTAAAGTCACCACACTCACTCTTCTGGAGTATCACTCAAAATTGATGTCACGTGCTGATTCTATTTTAAAGCATCAGTGTTAACAATCACTAAAGCTATTATGGCGTTAAAGGGATAGTTCACCCAAAAATGAAGATTATGTCATCATTTATGTTGTTCCAAATCTGTGTGGCATTATTTCTTCTGTGGAACACAAAATAAGTTATTTTAAGCAAAGATAGGAACCAAACACCATTGACAATCCACTGAAACCTATTTCAAATCATCTACTTTTGTGTTTCACAGAAGAAAAAGGGGACCTTGCAGGCGCTGCAGGATTTCAGTCCATTGCAGCGTAGTGTGTTACCAATGGTTTGCTTGGTGACTGTGGTCCCAACTGCCTTAAGATCATTAACAAGCTCCTCCCGTGTAGTTCGGGGCTGATCCCTCACCTTCCTTATGATCATCCTTACCCCATGAGGCAAGATCTTGCACAGAGCTCCAGACCGAGGCCGATTGATGGTTGTTTTGTATTTCTTCCATTTGCGAATAATCGCACCAACAGTTGTCTCTGTTCCAGAGCATTAAATTTTATCCTTTAGCACTTGATTTTATATATTACCTTTTTAATATTTTATATCTTAAACTAATTTCCTGAATTTCTCAGGTGGAGGCCACAGTGGTTCAGATGCAGGACCCATCCACTGGAGTGAAGGGAGCAAATCAGAAGCTCAACGTTACAACCATTCCCCATTCCATCACTGGTGAGTTCGTAATTTAGTGAGGATCTTACAGAATCCTAACACTGTTCACAGATCACCATGTATTGTATATTGTACGTTCCCTTTTGGTCTATATACAGACAGAAGCGTTGTGCTGCCAGATCATAATCTGACGACGCTGGCTATATACAGCAGCCTTCAATTGGATGAGATCTTTACTACTTTAGGTTCCAAAGTTGCACTTTAATCTCTGCAAGGGTTGTCGACAAATCTAGTGAGCCAGGAACTTTAACTTAGTCTTACATTTAACTGTTCTTGTAGTAATGGGCTTGAGATTTGTAAAGCACACGTGTTCAAAATGCTTGAAAACTGATATAACAATTTTCTACAGTATTTCACTACAATTTAATATTTGTACATACACTGAGACCCTTAATCATTATTTTAATCATTACATTTTTTATTCATTTTTATTTATTTTGTTATTTTTTTTGTTATTTTATTTTATTTTTAAACTACATATCATGGTAATTTTCAATTGCTCAGCACACATTTTTCTTTATTTGCTGTTTTTGCAGTTGTCATGACATTGTCTGTGTGTCTGACAGGTCAGGATATTGTTGCATGGATCACCAAAAATATGAACATGGACAATGATGGTAATTGTGAAAAAATATCGTTTTGAATAAACAATGGTCTGGAAAAAATATCCTTTAAATATGTTTGAATATATTACCCAGCACAATAATGTCCTTGAATGCCTTTTGACAGAGGCTCAAGCATTTGGCACAATGTTAGTGGCATTCGGGTACATCTACCCTCTGCAGGACCACAAAAAGCTTGTCCTCGGACCAGATGGCAGTTTGTACCGCTTTCAGGTAAACGTGTCAGGAGACCTTGTATCTTTAAAAATGTTTTAATAGAGGTGCACAGTAAACAGGTGACTTTTCCCTTCTGTCTAGGCCCCCTATTTCTGGCCTGTGCAGAAATGGAAGACTGAGGACACTGATTATGGTTTGTAATCTTTTGAATATTAACAAAATCTGAGAAGTTGCTTGCCAGAGGCCTTGCATTTACCCATGTTTTTTTGTCACCATCCCCTAATAAAGGTGTTTTCTCTGTCACTAAAGCAATCTATCTGGCAAAGAGAAACATTCGAAAAAAGGGAGTGCTTGATGCTTATGTTCAGTGCTTGGCCCCTAATTACTGTATTTACTGTATTTTTGATCAAATATATGCAGCATTGGTGGTGAGCAATTAAAGCATATTTTTTAAAAAATCTTATCGACCTCAGACGTTTGAACAGTAGTGGATCTGTTGTGATTTGTCATAATAATACGATGTAACCTGATATTCTGTGTATATAACTTGGACTGCTTTGACTTTTTTAGACTGTGACTCTATTGGTGTGACTGTCTCTTTTTTTCTCTCTTTCCTTTCCACACAGATTTTTACTTCTAATATGTCTTCAGTTATCAAGATGATTCCTACACACACACACACACACACACACATGGGAGAGAGCACAAACTATCAGTTCCAGCCTTGAATATCATTCAAACACTTTATAAGCAAGTGTGTATATATAGTGTGCCACAGTACTTCCCTGCTTCTGTACCCTGAGCATTATTTCAGACCATTGGCAATTAAAATGAGTGTCCCTATGTTATATTAAGAGCTTTATGTTGTTCCTTGTGCTAGTTTGTGTGTGGTAGTATATGTAGATATCACACTCAGATGTCCCCTGTATTTGGCAGGATAGCATGTTACAAGTGGGTCTTGTGGTGTTGTTTCAGAAGCATTTTGCTTGTAATGTAACAGGATGCTGTTTCTCCCTTTTTCAGAAAAAAACCTATGATTACTACAGAAGAATTGTAAGTGACATTGCTTCTTTACAAAAATATAGAGAACTGGTTGTTGTTTTTTCATTTATTGGTATTGATTAGTTGGTTCTAATTGTATATTTTAGAACATCTACACACAACAGGCCATCATGAGGTCAAGGGTCAAGTCTTCAGTATCTCTTGGAGCGTTCGAGTTTCACAATTTGAGTTGAATTACTGAAATAAATGAACTTTTCCATGACATTCTAATTTATTGAGATGCACCTGTATATATATATATATATATATACAGTATATATAAATATTTCTATTCAATTTATTTTGATTGCAAAATATTGCTTTTAGTTCTAATAATTTTAGTACTTCAACTTATTTTCAGCTTTATGTCAATTAATGAAATTACTTTTAATAGTTTTAGCTAACTATAACAACACTGATTGGTGATTGACTTATTTACTTTCATTATATTTGATTATAAGTCATATGGTTGTGAAACAAAATGAGGGTTTTAGACAATTTTCTTCACTGCAGGTGAGAATCTAGCTTTCTGGGAAGCCGCTGAGGAGTTGAAATGGGGCACAGCAGCTTCTATGTCAGAGAAAGCAGAACAAATTTTCAAGTGAGATGCACGTTATTTGTGCACATAATAGTTTTACCTGTATTTTGCATGTCAGGCCTCCATTTCTCAGAATCTCATTTTTATTTATTTTATTTTATTTTTTGTATAACCTTTTTGGCCCCAGGAGCACCACGATGGATCAACATTGATGGCAGGACAATGGGTCTAACAGTAAAGGGACTGGAACCTCCTCACCGATACGTACTGGACGCTGCCCAGACCCACATCTTCATGCTGATGAAAAAGGTATGATCGTATCTCCGCCTCTGTTGTTGTGTCTGATCACCTGCAATCTGTATGCTTAGTAATTTGAACTCTGCCCTGTGTGTGTGTGTGTTTTGTTTTTGTTAATAAGGATGCACACCAGACATTTCTAATTTTTTAACTCAATATTTCTGTCATGACAACTCTCGGAGGGTTTGGCATGGTAATGTACATGACAATGTGAATGTGTTTGGTCTTGGTGGAATAGACCTGCTGCTGCTGCAGAGCAAGAACCAGGACTTGCTACTGCCAATACATCCACAACATGCTGCTGTGAGCATGTAAGAAATATTGCTGCTGCAAATATAACATATAGCATACATGAATCACCTCATAGCAGATCTATACAGGTGAGTTGGGGAAGGTGGAGGGTTTTTGAAGCAAGCTGCAACTGCTACGGCTATCACTGGAGGGTGGAGGGTTTTTGAAGCAAGCTGCAACTGCTACGGCTATCACTAGTCATATATTTGAATGTTGAGCAGCGAGCTCATTGGCTACAGATACAGGAGAGAACCAATCAGCTGTGCCATGTGATGATGTCGTTAGGTCTGATTGAGTTAGACCTATCGGACTGCGCCATCTAGAGTTTCATGTCAGAACTCTGTATTTCTTATTTAGGATACCTTCTATCGCTACCTGAAGTCACCAGTTTACAAGGAAATACAGAAAATAGCCATTTCACCTGCACCACACGATTTCTCGTAAGTCTATTTGTTTGTATACGCATGTTGACCAATAATTCATCCTTTCTTGTACAATGTAAAAACTGTAATTGTAAAAATTGTAATTGTAATTCAAATTGTAAATAAAACAAAGATTGGAGTATGTATATTAGAGTATGTCTTACAAGAACATACTATTTTAATTTATCTACTTCTAACATTTCTTGTTTAATGCAGTGTTACTAGCCATAATTGCTTTTGAAATTTACTAGCAGTTTTTGAATGAAAATTGTTTATTCACCAAAGCTTTGTCAGTGTACTTGTACATTTTGATAATATTGCTACCGAGTGTCTTTATTGCAATTTCTACACAAGTAATTTCTGAAATATAAAACGCGTGTCACCAAACCAACTGTATTTTGCTATAAAAAGGCTTGTTCTCCCCCCTCAGTGAGGCCCAGCTGCAGCAAAACATGAGGAACCGCAGGCCGAGCATCAACCCCATCATCACCTGGCAGAAGGAGCAGGAAGAGAAAGCAAAAGCAGCAGCCGCAGCTGGACCCGTAGACATTAAGAAACTGATGGCCAGCAAACTAGAACGCAAATAGAAAGTTGGAGACAGAAATACATGCTGGAAATGCTTTACCTAACAATCTGACTAATAAAAAGAGACCTGTACAAGACGTTTGGGTGCTCTACATGTACAGATCCAATACAAGGTCTCATATCATAGAGCTAAACTTAGAGACTCTAAGTTTAATTCTTCCATGAAATTTGCTGTACACATAATTGATACCAAATATATATAAATAACAATTCAACTATGTACAAATGACTCCCGAACAGCTAGTTCCTATAATTTGTATTGCTACATCCAAAGGATGTATTTTTGTAGTTTGCTAAATACTGTTTTTTCAGATCACACTTGTTTCCATACAGTGATTCTGTTCATCCAATACAAAGATCGAGTTTCTTTCAATCTCTGTTTACCTGTATAGCAGTTTCCCCATTATAGTGTCAAGATGTTTCGTATGCGTGCTATAGTCATGGTGAATACTTGTATATCTTCTGTAAAACAATAAAGACAGCATGGTTCAGTGCTGTATGTTTGTAATACTGCCTACAGTGTTGAAGAAGCTTCTTTGATCAGAAAATCAGTTTAAATTACTAATCTACACTCAAAAAGTCATTGTATTCAAATGTCTAATCTTTACTTAAATAGTAAATAGTAAAAAATAGCCCCTTTAATTATTTCATTATTTCGTATATTACTTCAGCTTCATTCATCGCACCAAAAGATAAACTGCAGTGCTTTACAGCTATAGGACAGGAAGAGCTAAATAAACTTATCACTGCATCTAAACCAACAACATGCCTGTTAGATCCTGTACCCACTAAATTACTGAAAGAGTTGTTACCTGTAGCAGAAGAACCGCTTCTCAATATTATTAACTCGTCGTCCCTGGCTTAGATCCTACCTGTCCGATCGCTACCATTTTGTTAATTTAAATGGGGAGTCATCTCAATTATCACCAGTAAAATATGGAGTGCCACAAGGATCTGTCCTAGGTCCTCTGCTATTTTCGATATACATGTTGCCCCTTGGTAATATTATTAGAAAATACGGGATTAGTTTCCACTGTTATGCTGATGATACTCAACTATATATCTCAACAAGACCAGATGAAACTTCTAAATTATCTAAGCTAACAGAGTGTGTTAAAAATTTAAAAGATTGGATGACCAAAAAAAAAGACAGCGATATTACTTATTGGACCAAAAGACAGTACACAGAATCTCTTGGAAACATTGCCAAGTTACGAAACATGTTACCTGTTACCTGTTTCTGATGCAGAAAAGCTAGTTCATGCATTCATGACCTCTAAACTGGACTATTGTAATGCACTGCTAGCTGGTTGTCCTGCATCTTCAATAAACAAGCTACAGGTAGCCCAAAATGCAGTGGCTAGAATCCTTACCAGTTCAAGAAAATATGATCATATTCTCAGATACAAAAAAATTAAATGGAGTATACACAATCAAACTCTTAATTAGTATAACTAAGGAGGATAGCATGATAAAATATACATTTACACCAAAATGTAATTTCCAAAGAAAAATACAGAGCTAAATTGTGTTTCTGATTCACTCAATTACAATTTTAATTAGAATAAAATAATTAAAATGCCACAAAATAATAGCTAATGTGCTTGATAAATACAAAGGTGTACTTTTCATTAAATTTTATTAATATGCTTTGCATTGCAATTTCTCTATATCATGTGATTTTGTGAGAATAGGCAATACAGTACACAGTTGTAACATTTCAAAATGTATTTTAAATATTATTTTACATAGTGTTGTGTGCGGTTAAAAAAATAGCAAATTTTTAATAAAAGTTTATTTGGCCATGCCAGAAAGCCAGCCTAATTTAAAGAGAGAAGGGGCTGTGGATTCCTCTTCTTGATTGGCTAACTGCCTGAAGAGATTTCCTGGGCGGAAACTGTCCTGTGGAGCAGAAGCAGAGGAGGGAGCCACCTAAAATAGAGAATTTTTTTTTTAAATTGCCTTAAAAACTGATTTGCATTTCATAATGTTGAGACGCAGAACTTAAAATAGTTTCTCCACACAGCAAGAGTCAAAAAGTGTCACCACAAGCAAACGGATTAGCAGTTTTAAGGGCCAGTTGAGAAATCTGTAAGTACATGATGCTTGTTTGCTTATAATACAGAAGTATTAAGCTCAAGATGAACTGTTGTGATCGATGATGCTAAAACTGCTCAACAGCCTTGATCCTCATGTTGCTCAATATTCATAATGTATTAGTTGCATTTGAGTGCTGCTATGCCATGTGTTGCATTCGCAAAGCATATCAGCTGATGCGACCAAAGTGATTAAAGTGCAGAAAATCCAAAACTATGCACTGCAAAAAATGAAACAGCACCACACAATATCACATCACCTATCGCCTTGAGATCCAGTAGCTCTTCTGCTAGGCCACGTAAAACTGGGAGCATTGGTAGAAAGTGACTCATTTGCAAAACCGTGAGAACATACTCCTTTATTAACAACTCTTTTTGTTAATAAATATTATAATGGTTTTAATGGTTTACTATTACAGTGGCTCAATTGTTTACTTTTTTTTTAACATGCCAGCAGAGGTATCCGAGTACTGTACACACCAAATGCTTAAGCAACCTACCAGTGGTCTAGTGATATCTGCTCCAAGTGTGGCTAAATTAGTCTTCCGAGAGTTTGTCATACTCAGTGGCAGCAAACCAAACCTTGAGGAGGAAAAAAAAAATATTAATTTATAAATAAAATTAAACATACAACATAAACATAATATAATGAACTAAAATATAAATGAATGATAAATTCACTACATTTAGTGAAAATAATGTAGTAATTAATATAATAAATTAAAAAGTGAAAATTTAACATTTAAGAAATATAAATTTTAAAAGATATATTTGTATAATTTTATTTCACATTTTAAATTTCACATTTTAAAATTTGAAATTGAACAAAATTAGTATCAGTAAAATGTGCTATTAAGAGTTTATGATGTCTCTAAAAATATATATTTTTATTGTCTTGTACAACAATGAAACACACAGCATGACAGCAATAAACCAGCTATAAATACATAACAATGAGTCAAACAGTGTGAAGGGCTAGAGCTTTATACTGACCGGATCTGGCTGCTTGCCAAAGGAAGGATGTTGTAATTTTAAAAGATATATTTGTATAATTTTATTTCACATTTTAAATTTCACATTTTAAAATTTGAAATTGAACAAAATTAGTATCAGTAAAATGTGCTATTAAGAGTTTATGATGTCTCTAAAAAAATATATTTTTATTGTCTTGTACAACAATGAAACACACAGCATGACAGCAATAAACCAGCTATAAATACATAACAATGAGTCAAACAGTGTGAAGGGCTAGAGCTTTATACTGACCGGATCTGGCTGCTTGCCAAAGGAAGGATGTTGTATGGTTCCTGAGAGTTGAGATTGTTGGTCCTAGAGGTAAACTGCTTCTCCGTGCCAGTCAACAATCCTAAAAGCACCTAGAAACAACAAGAGGTAGCATAGTTTTGTTAAAGAGTGTAAAACACTGTTAAAGGCGGCAATCATCATGCCAACCTAAATCACATGAGAAAAGGTCAATTGAATGAGCCAATTAAACAGCAGGATGCTTAAAACAGGGTTAGTACGAGACAAATTGTCTGTGCTTACAGAGGTCCTTTGTGAGAGTCGGTTCAGGTTACTGTTCAGATGTGGAGTGAAAACATCCAGGTCAAACGGATCAATGTGACTTTCCAGGGAGTCGCAGACCTGCTGGATCCTTTAACAAACAGCAGGAATTTAAGAAAAAGTGTAAGAGGTCTGCTGCTTAGGAAAGAGCTATTCTTGGTGTAATCGGTTGTGCTTTGTTTTGAGGTTGGAAGGTCAAGTCACGCTACGATTGTGTTTTCCTCACCAATCATTGCTTTTACTTCCAACTGAGGACTTGTGCCCATCCCTAGCTTATGAACAGGTTACCTTGGGTCTTGCTGAGAACGGGAACTCCTGCCCTCTTCAAGGCGGGACCCTAGAGTGGCACTGAGATAGCGAAGGTCAAACAGCAGCTGCAAAGCTCTGTTCTGGGTCATGGGAAGGGCTGCATCCTAGAGAGACAGGAGACAAACGAAATTTGGTTTTATAGATTTATTCCATTATTATAGTGGCTAGGCAGGAATGGATAAACATTTTTTTTGATGGTCTCACCTTGCTCTGTGTTTTCTGAGTAAGTTTTTCATACTCACTCACCAGCTGGTCTAGACAACCCCGCAAGAGGTCCAGGAGAGTGACCTTTGGTAACGCGTGACCTCCGACCCTATTGACCTCAAGGCACAGATGGAAGAGTAACGACTGAACATACCATGATGGCTGTAGAGAGAGAAAGAAATGAAAGGGTTATTTTATCATTTGTATAGCAACATCCTTTCAGTTCAATAAAACACTTTGCAAGGGGTTTCAAAACAGGTGGCCACAAGCGGGTGCTAGGGAGGCCACAAAACAAAATTAGATTTTACATATTAAAGGGATAGTTCACCCAAAAATATAGAGGAAATTGTTGAATAAAGTCATTATTTTGTTTTCTTTGCACACAAAAAAAAATCTGTTTTATAACATTACAATTGAACCTCTGATGTCACATGGACTATTTTAATAATGTCATAACTACCTTTCTGGGTCTTGAACGTGTCAGTTACATTGCTGTCTATGGGAGGGTTAGAAAGCTCTCGGATTTAATCATAATTTGTGTTCTGAAGATGAACGAAGGTCTTACGGGTTTGGAAGGACATGAGGGTGAGTAATTAACTCTTTCCCCGCCATTGATGAGTTATCTCGTCTTTTACAAGAAAACCCTTCCTCGCCAAAGACGAGTTTTTACGGCTTTTCGTGTTTTCACTGTTATACACTCGGGGGCGCTATTACGCATCTTCTGAACGAGTACAAAACCTCCCGAACAAAAACACACGTGTACAGGATGGAGAAATTATGTAAACAGATGCATACGAAAAATAATGCGGTCATCAGCAATAGACAGCATATAAATGAAAACTGCATAATGTTACAGAGTAACATGTTGATCCAGGAAGTGGTATATGTCTGTGCAAGCTTTGGATGAATTGATGGAATCAATTTACTGGATAATCGTACTGAATATTATCCAGATGTAGTTTTTGATAAAAATTTGATTTTCTCACCTTTTTGCTCAAAATAATGCATTTTTTATGAAACCTACCTACAGTATATTCAAGTGTTGATAAAAAAGAATGCTTTAAGCTAGAATAAAACAGTTTTTTTGTTTAAAAGTAGAGGCTCTGATATTTATTTTGGTGTATATTCAAATATTCATACAGCAAAATATACTGGAGGCCATAAAATTTTAGTGAAAATCATCAAAATCGCTGGCAGTGGCTGGCAACTTTTTTTTTTAAATGCTGGCGGGGAAAGAGTTAATGTGACTGAATTTCTATTTAACATGATAACAATTCAATAGAAATATTGTAAGTTACTAATTATAATGCTTATATTTCCTCAGTTATTCAAAAAGCAGCTACAGAAAATGAGCAAAGACCATTTACATTACCAAAGAACATCATCACAAGCTCAGTCTAGTGCGA